TATTGATAATACTTTCGACCTACTTCTGTGTCTAAGGATACACTTCTATGGTGGCAACAATTCAGAGTTGTATTACCCTCAGCACTTTGTTCATGTCCTCCAGAATAGTCTCTATGCATAGTAGAAACTTGTGGCTGTGATGGAAAGGCATCAAGCCCCATTAACTTGGCTACAACACTAGGTGGACTGTACTTGGAGGATATGTCTTTTGACATTTCTTCGGCTAAATGCATCTTCATTGGTGTTCCATTTACTTTTGTTTTCAAAGCATCTCTACTAAATTGAGATACAATCTGTATGCATGCCATTTTACAAAAGAAAAAAATACAATGTTATAGTTGAGCTTCAAAATATCCCAAACTAATTGTTCCTTATTAATTAACAGATATACCTCTTTATCCTGAATCTGAGTCTCATTTGAAGACATCCATGTCACATCTGAGTTGCTCCTTGACAGAGAACCTGTAAAATTAATTGTGCTCAAATGAGTTTAACAAAGAGTGGAAAAAAAGCTGTTTCTCAATAATGCAATTCTTTTACCACTTCATACTTCAATTTTTAATGCATCAGTTCAATCACAATGAAAGAATATAACCCTACAGGTCAATTACTCAAACTTGAGACAGTTAAGAGTTCTTTTGGAAAAGTAATGATCACCAGTTCCAACTCTCCTTTAGGAATCATGAATTGCAAATGCAACATGTGAAAGAAAAGATATACTCCAGGTATGAAACTAGGACTTACCATCTCTATGTGGTTTTTCTGTGAGTAACTTGTTCCCTGATACCCCACTATTCAAGTCAAAAAGGTTTACCATTCTTCCCAAACATCCTGGAAATGGTTTATCAAGATTGCGATTTTTGCTATTCTGAACCACATTCATCTCACCTGGAAAAACGTTCAACAGTAAATCCCATTGCTAGAACTAATGCAGCAATGCTACTAACAGAGTTTAAAAGATTAGGATCCATTTTCAGAGCATAAAGCGGATCTTGAAATCTCACACTAACTCACCCTATTAGTGCACTGTCCAATAGCATTAGAAAAAGAACACGGTCTCCCCGAGGATTATCGATAAAATAGCATGATCTCGAGGCCAAATCTCAATTTGCTACTTCCTATCTTCATATCCAGACAGGGGAAGTCTTATCTCTTAACAGAAGAAGAGGGCAAAAGGAGTTGAAATGGTAGTAGCTATGTAACAAGAGAAATCTAGAGAATTACAAATCAAGGATACTACAGTTTCAGGACACAAAGACTGGTTTACTAAACCATAAGCCAGAATTAACTAGTAATGCCTACTCAAAACTTTCTACATAACGCTAAGAAATAATCAGATAGGACAAAAAGATGACTGTATAGTGTTGAAGACTTTCAGCATATTTTCATAGAACTCAACATCAACTATTCCCAAAACAGCACAAACGAATTCCAAGTGCCATCAGCGGTCTAATTACATAACAAACGCAATTAAATATACAGAATATCTCCAATACAGATAATGCCAAACACTCCACTAGATTCACCAAACTTTCAAAAGATGGTGTTTAAATAGAATGTTGTTCATGTCAGTTTCTTTCGTAAAAGTAATTAAATTGCAAGTAAAATCCTTGCCCTAGATAAATATGAGTCAAAGGTAATAATTTCAACACACACAAAGAATTATCCTCCGCTAAAAAGGCATAAATTTGCGTAGTTAAAGGTAAATACAAAAAAAGGGGAAAAGCATCGAGAATCAGATTTGATTTGCCTTGGAAAGGGGAGATCGAAAGGGAAACATAAAGTAAAAATGGTGGAGCACCTCTACTTAGCGAACAGTTGGAATATTTACAGTGGCGAAGCGAAGGTCTGAGGGTGGCGCGGCCGTAGATTCCACACGCCGGCCGCCGGAGGCGTGTACGCTTTAGAGATGTAGCGAGAGAAAGCGTGCGAGGATGAGAGTGTCACTGGAGCTGAGGAACGTCTCGCCGGGAAACCGCATTCCAGAGACAATTTCGCCGGAGATTTGCCGATTAAGCCGAAACCAAGCTTTCATTATCAGCTGTCCACCGACTTTATGTCTGCATACTGTTTATTCTGAATTATTTATAGGATTGTGAGATATTGAAGGCAAAATGAAGTGAAGAGTTGCCACATAAAATAAAAATTGCATCTGTCCATAAAAGTATTTTACCTTTTCCCCCCTCCCTTCAAATTTCTTTTTAAAAAATGTATTCGTAAAATTCTTTTTGTTTTGTTATAAAATTTATATTTTTCATTTTTGTTCTTTCAAAAACACTACAGGCTTTTGTTGGTAGACGAAAGTAGAAAAATTGGTAGACCTCGAAAGAAATGAAATGATTATCCGGGACTTAGGAATTGTTGTTCTTATTTAACGATCTGGCTTTATATAGAAACATTTGAAGAGCTAAGATTAGATAATGGAGTAAACGCTTTGAGCTAGGTGGTAGTTTTTGTGCTTCTTGTTGTGTGCTTTGTATGTTGGGTGCTCTTTGCTGTTAATGCTTTTCTTTCGTTAATAGTACAACCACTACTTTGTTACTTGCCTATGTATACTTTGTGCTTTCTTATCTTATTAATTTACTTTTACAAAATGTATATTAAAAATGGAAAAAACAAGGATTTGAAGTCATGGGCTTCAAACTAATTATTTCCATTGAAACTGTGAGATAAGTTAAAGAGAGGTTGAAACTGATGTGACAGAAAGAGAAAATTTGAAACTCTGGGCTTCAAACATATTTCCAATTCTCTAATAGTCCAAGCCTATGGGGGTAGTGATGAAGGGCATTGAAATTTGAAACTGAAATGAAAACAATTAATGCAGATTTGACATGGAAAAATCAGAGTCGAAACTAAAAGAATCGATAAAGATTGAATGGTAAAAATGAGTTAAACTAGTATAAGAGGCCATTTAGTCCAAGATCATGGTCTTATGTGGTCCATGAATTAAAATAACGGCTGGGTTTTAAAGCCACCCAAGGTAAGTGGCTTCGAAAAACACTTATAGTGCTCCATTTGTAAAATTGATAATTCCTACCTGCTTAACCCCCTAGTAAACCTTCCCCTCCATCCAGCCCGACCCCAACCCATTCCTCCACTCGCGTCAAATGTGGTGGCAAGTTTAGTTTATTTTGGTATCAAACTTTTTACTCCAAAGTCAACTAAACTTGCACCCATAATTAAAATGTGCGGGGGATGAGTTAGGTTCGAGCTATGTGGAGACGATAGGGGGTATTTTGCAAACAAGACACCATAGTTTACGTTGTCTTGTTTGAATGTTACATGTCCCTAAGTGTGCCAATTGAACTGATATTATCCAAAACTAGTCTAAAGGAATGGTCGTAGAACCGAGTCTTTTAAATAAAGGCGTAAAAGAACTAGTCTGATTAAAGGACATTATTTTTTTTTAATCTTGAATTTTAAACGTAGGAGGACTAGTCCGGTTAAAAAGCCTCAATATTGGTCATTAAACCATTACTCTGTATACTATTGAGACTTCGTTTGAACTGATTCAATATTAGGACTAATTATATTATTGAGGCTTTGTTTGAAGTGATTCATACTAGGGATCTCTTTGGGAATGAGAAAATGACTTTTAAAAGCTATTCCCCAGTGTTTGGGAGGAAGGTCAATGCAAAATGGCCAATGGTCTATGGGAAAATGAAGCTTGAAATCTGGAAAATTAGGGGTGGGCGGTCCGTGACGGTCCGTAATACTATCGGAACTTATCACGGGCAGCTCTTATTTAAATGGTTTGGTATGAATACGGTATAAAACCTAAAACCATTCGGTCTCATTATTTTTTGAAACAAAACAATACAATACCATACCCATGTTCAAATCGTGCCAAAAAATGAGGATGCATCACTCAAGTTTGCTAAATAGAAGTATTGATTTCAAATTTAAACAGATCATAAATATAGAGAATAAAAGATAATGAGTTTAAATATTTAAAATAGATTTTCTTTTCAATTTATACAATATCATACTATTAATAGCTCTAAAAAAATAATGGCAATAGTAGTAATAAATATAATATCAACAATAATAATGAAAGAATTTTAAAAATAAATAATACAATACGAAATACTCCATATGAGGTATGATGAATTAGACAAATAATTATCTTAGATACTCCGTATATAGCTTTGAACGATTCAGCTCGTGATAATCGGTTTTAAAAATTTATATCACGGTCATGTCCCGTTTGATATCGTTTCGGTTCCGGTTTGTGATAAAAAAAATCAATCTCGTTTAAAAATACTATAAGCAATTCGGTACCATTACGGTTTAGTATGGTACCATGCGAGTTTGTTTTTTTTTGCGTCTTCTCCAAGGCTCAAAATTTTTTCTCAAATCCTCCATCGCAAGTTCCGTTCGCCTTTCCTATCATATCCTCACCATTTCCCCCCTTTCCAAACGGACCATAAACCGAGAACTGAGGAATTTACGTAAATGACACTAAAACATCATGGTTTTTCCTAAATAGCATCACAAGTATTTTTTCCCAATGTAGCACTTTTAGTCATTATCCATTAGTCATTATTTAAGTAAATGTTCGTCATCACTGGACATTATGTACATTATAAAGTGTTATTTAGAGAATAAAACAGTTTAAATGCTATTTAGGGAAATGTCTTAAGTTTTAGTGCTATTTGTTGCAAATATTTTATCTTTTTATTTGTTAAACCGAAAATGGATACTCCTTCCGTCCCAAATTATAATGTCCGTTTACTATTCACATGGTCAAACTTCATTCACTTTCTTTCTCTATTTTCGTTAGCAATTTGATAAAATAAAATATTACTGTCACTACTAGTTTTGTAGATCTTTTGATGTAGTTTTTTTAATATGTAATTTTTATTTTTAAATTCTATACCATTTGTCATATAAAATGGTTTGAAAATAATTTCAGTCAAACATCGTAAACCGAAACAGACGTTATAAAATGGGACGGAGGTAGTAATATACAATAATGTTGTCAAAGCAAAATATTGACTCCATTCCTTTGTAATCCTGGGTCCGCCACGGGGTGCTTCGGGCTAAACTTCATTTCGCTAGTTAGTTCTACTGCCCGACAAACTTGTCTGGAGCAGTTGCCTGCAGAGTTATTTGGACTCTTCCTCATTCATCTAAACTTGTGCAAGAACATATCCAGAGGATGCAACAACTTAAAATTCAAGTACTCTGTACCTGGATGTTCAGCTACTTTTCCATTCATCCGAACTCTCCGATGAATGGTTCGTTGTCTGATTTTGCCCCAGTCGAGTCTTCAAGCAACAAAGGATGTCCAATCTTTCCGTCAAATGATGTTTGAAAGTTACAAGAGGGCAGCTCATGGGATTCAGATGCTTCTTGAAAATCGATTCGTCTTGAATTCAAACACCCCATGTTCCATGCTTTCTCTGGTTCAGTACCATATCTACTTCTATAACAATGTTGAGAAAAATGCTCATGCCAAGGGAAACCAGTTGCAGTTAAGATGTTCCATTCCGAAACATTCAGCACAACAGGTAATAAGAATGCATCATAATCTAGGTTACGCTTCTCACCGAAACACTTGTCTGGGGTATACTGAAGATCGTCTAGAAAATAGGAAACGCCGTTGCCATGATCTTCATTGTACAGCGAGGAAGAGGGAGAAGAATTTAGTTCCCTTGGCAGAGTAGTCAGATGGAATGGTAAGGCGCAAACATGTAGAGAATGATCGGGAAGTAAGGATGGTGTTACAACTTGTGAATGTGTTATGTGCTCAGAGCTGCTAGCAGTAATTATTGCTGTTTCAGGTTCATCTTTCTCCTTGTCGAAATCCCAATCCAGCAATAAGGTTTCTGCTTCTCTTCTTGGAGATTCATCCCGCAAACAGAACTTTTCTGGTTCTTCATGATGATAATACCAATCACTATAGCCATACCCTTCATAATTTAAGTGCACGGGTGAACCAATCTGTTTCAACAAGCTTGTATCTTTGACACGATACGAAGCTTGACAATGATCAACTACTTCACTGTGTGGAATAGTTTTTGCATCAAATTTGGAAAAATAATTATATGAAGCAAAATCAGGCCAATCCAACATGTCTCTTGTTGCGCCAAACCACCTTGAAAGTTCCCTACTCTGGAATAATTCAAACTCTGATGTGGTTAACTCTCTTTTGTTACTGTGATCATGCCTCATCTCAGAGAGATCCAACTCTGGAAGAACAGGTGAGCAGCCAGTATTGAATGTGGTCCTTGAACGCTACCACCATTGTCCAAATCAAATATCAGCAAAAGAAACAAGCAGTCAAATGGTGAAAGCACTTCATGCAATTGGAATATACACATCATACTTTGTTCTCGTTGCCATTGGGGGAAAGACGACTAAGGAGCAGAGGCAACATGTCACACCTGGGGGATTCAAATGAATTCAGCCAGTAAATTATTTATTCAAAACTGCTAAATGGAAAAATTTTAGCACCACTAGCATATCATTGTATAGAATTCGAGCGACAAAATGCTGACCCCTTGGAAGTCAAGTTTTCTGTGCCAGCAAAAGACATTTCTGCCCACCGGCGTAACTTCTGTCTCTTTGCAGAAAAAATATCTCTCCAAGTATTATCTGCCTAATGCTCAATTTTAAGTCACCCATGCTTGTAGAATGTTTAATAAGAAGATACACATAATCACAGCCTGAACCTGAATGCTTTGATGGAGCTGATTGAGGTGATAAATGCAAAACTTTGTCTACAGTTTTATGATGCAAAAAGGGAGAGTAATTTGAGCCTACTGGACATGCCTGCATTACTAAAAATTGTCATTATCATTAAAAAAAAGCATTACAAGATGTGAAGAATGTAAATGACTGAATATAGAAGAAAATTACTCCTACCTCACCAGGGCTCTTGCATCTCCCTACTTCAGGCGAGACAAACATGCACCGGTTATTAAGGCTTACTTTTTCTGGTAGAGCTGAAAACTTATCTTTGACATCACAATTCAACGTGTTGGATTTTCTCAAAGCCTCTTTTAAATTATATACCAGCCGGAGTATAAAAGAACCAACAATGTTAGGTTTTAAAATGATCAATACAAATGCTCTTCCTGGATACTTTACATATCGCGAATGAAGTGAAGATGGAAGAATATACTGGCTTAGACCTTAGTTACAACTAGAAAGGATAACATACCACGAACAGAATCATTAGTATAAGGTGCCTTCATTTTTTCTTTCAATTTATGTCGGGCATTTTCATAACTCCCAGCATCATTCAATTCCTGATCACATTCTGTATCCCGAAAATGATGATTATGCTGGATCATAGACTCCTTCACCTTTTTAAAGTACGCATACTCTGAAGTTTTGGGAATACCATCTGCCCTAAAATAAAGCATTTATGATTAAATACATATTTAAGCACAATTAAATGGTACTAAAGGTCTATAAGACAACTGAGGAAAATAATACTTACAAGAACAAGTTAATATTTACTTCGTACAAGTTAATGAACGCAACAAGAACTTCTTCCACAAAACAGGAGAGTGGAGACAACAATTAAAATGGAAACAAATTACATCTAAGATCACTAGTAGCTTCATATCCTGCAGAAAAATCACCTGATACATTATTTGCCAGACATTCTCTGTCAATACCAGTAACTCTCACTCTTTTCCCCTTGCTTTTACCTATCAAAAGGGGAAAAAATAGATGAAATGTAGTCACTATGAAAGCGCAACATATAATCAGAAAAAGTACAATTTACAGAGAGCCAACAGATGATGATTGAGGAATGGCATTACTTGATAAATGAAGCAACGAGTAAACGAATCAAAGCACCACTAATAACGCATCGTATATTCAAGCTAGAGCGATGGAAAACGATAACAGATGTCAAAATGAAGAAGCAAAATCTAAAATGCAGACGGATTAACATCTGAATCAAAGCTTTACGCAGGAGGACGACGGTAAGAATGAAAGGATCCGAAGCGCGATCGGAATACCATATCGGCAGTCCGAATCCAGATCTCGAGCAAAGCCGCCGATTGAAGAGCTCTGAACGCGAGATGGATCTCTGGTGTCGGATTTGAACCTTCGCTTCATGACCTTCATCGTCTTCCTTTCATTCATCCAAGGATTCAAAGCTCGCTCGATTAAAGGTCCAAAGTTTTCAAATTTGAAGTCCGTGCTTAAAACGGGCTTTAGCTTTTTGAAAAAAAGAAATGTCCTACAAGTAAAAATATTTGAAAATACCAAAATAGGAATCAACTTAAAATTAAAATAGGTGTATGATAGCACTGTGGTGTAAAAAAGCTCATTGGTAGTGTGATAGAAAACTAATGACGTCAGTGTGATCAGTTAACCGTCGACGATCTGCAGCGGCACTCCGGTGGCCGGCGGCGATGGTAGTGTTGATAATATGACAGTTACAATGTGACAATGTAATGAGTGTGACAATGTACCAATGGCACTACGAACTCTTATTTTGGTATTTTCATAGTTTTTTACTCTTATTTAAGGAGTTTTCTCTTTGAAAAAACTATCTACGAGAAGCGTTTAGCGTTTTCAAAATAATCTGCACCGTTAAAATTTTATCTTAAACACTAACACTAATCTTTAACACTATTTCTAAACAGGCCCGTGTTCGCGTGCTACATGCCCATTAAAGGCTACAGTTGTAGGTACAGGTAAAAGAAAGTCTTACAAAGCCCATTTAGTTAACCAAGAATGATGTTGAGGTCTAGGCCCAAATATGGATATTAATTTGGATTCTTTCAACTTCTTTTAATTTAGTCCTTGGTGAACAAATCTATGGGCTTTAGAGAGAGAATGCCCTTAGTTGTGTAAAAATCTATGGGCCATGAGTATGAGTTTAGGTTTGAGTTGTTTGTAATTGTTGCCCTTATTTAGGGGTTGAAATTCGATAGCAAGGTACCATAATCAATGTGTACTTATAGTTTTGTTTGTTACATAAAATTTAAATTATAGAATTAGAATTAAGGATAATAATTCAAATTTTCAGTTTGATAGTAAAAAAATATGTAGATTTGAAATTGGTAGGACCAAAAATAAATTAGAATTAGAGAATTTAATTCCATCTAAATCAATATCAAAGAATTTCAACTCCCAATTCAATTTTAATTCTGTCAATTATGTGTATCAAACAGACCTTAAGTGTAATTCAATCTCTGAATCGATGATTAATCTTTCATTTTTAAAATACTTTTAAGTCTTATACATTAAATATACTAATACTTCTACCCGTGCCATGCACGGGGTAATACACATTTTTTGTCGATTCTAAAATTTGTTCCATGAAATTTATATTTTGGAATAAAGAAAATATATTCATCACATGATTTTTAATGTAATAGGTGTAAAATGCCAAAGTAGACTTGATAATATTCGAGCAATTGAACGTAAACTAAACAATATTTATTTTAATACCAAATTTTTTGAAGGACTTCAGGGTATACAACATTCTTGGTATGGTTGTAAGGGTTTCCATTATCATCTTGAACTAATATTTTTAATCCCGTCTTTGTCTTTACTCGCGAAACAGCAACATAAAGTTGACCATGTGTGAACACCGACTTGGTTAAAAATAATTCCACAAATGATGATTTTTGACCTTGACTTTTGTTGATAGTCATTGAAAAACATAATATGATTGGGAATTGTCTCCTTTGGAACTTCAAGGGTAGTCCTGGATCAGTTGATACCAAATTCATTCTAGGGATGTAAATCTTTTCCCCGACTTAATTTCCCGACACCACAATTGCACCGATAACATTGTTTCGCAGCTCTTAAGCGATTAATCTCGTTCCATTATACAACCCAGATGTCTGGTCAATGTTCCTCAAAAGCATAATCGGAACCCCTTTTTCAAAACTATTTTCTGGTTGGGGATTCTTGAACATTTGATTTCATTCAAAAACTCCATTATAATTCAATCGCCATCAACATCTACATCTGCATTTGATTGGCAAGAAAATCAGAACTCAAGTACTCCTTTTCATCACCAGGAATAAGAGACAGGACAAATTCATTTATCATTTCAACAACTTCGAGAGTTGGTGCCAATAGTACTCTCTATCCTCAAAAAAAGAATAATTTTTCATAGTCTCTAATATATTCAGATAAGTGAAGTCTGCTATACTCTTGATAGGTGAACTTGTATCAAGAATTAAGAATTCAGGCGGAATACTGACATCACTAACTCCATCCATCACCTCACCTAGCTTTCCATCTCCCACTTTGATTATCCAATAGGAAAAAGCTTGCGTGTCGCTGTTTGTGCAAGAGGACATAGATGAATGCAATCTCATATTCTAGGAAATGTAAAAACTTTACAACACAACCACAAATGTGAGGAATTGATCGTACCACCTACAATTTCTTCTCAAGAAGCTCTGGGTAAAACTGGAAGAATCTGCCGAAAGTCACCTCCGAGTATAACTATTTTCCCTCCATATATATATTCGGTATTGATTTTGATATATATATATATGTGTGTGTGTGTGTGTGTGTGTGAATTTCCATTCACAAATCTTTGTAATTGATTAATTTAAGTAAGTAATCAAGTGGTCTTGAAGTTGTATTGCTTAAACATGCGTATAAAAGTGAGCAATTTAGGTAATTAAAAAAATAAGAAAGTAAGATCTATGATTAATGCATTAAACGGTCTATTACTATATAAAGTTTTATTCTGGTTTATTTAATATGGTTTTTGTTTTTGAATATTTAAAAATTGTTTAACTTTCACGGTTTATTTAAAGGATATGACTATTAAAGAAAACAAACAAAAAATTAATAATTAAGGAAGCACGCTTAAACTTTATTTGGTGTGTCACTTTAAGCGTACTTCCTTAATTATTAATTTTTTGTTTTTTTCTTTAATGGTCTACACCAAAATAAGGTCACATTCACTTGCAAGACTACACTTACCATGTTAGCATACGGTAGGGAAAGTTTATGGTAGATAGACTTGATAAAAAATGACCCGACCTGTTTTTGACCCGAAACCCGACCTGAAAACACTGAGTTTTGAACAAAGATTTTGATGACCGAACCCGAAGTTGATCGAAACCCGAAATGATCCGCTAAAAATGGTTCAAACCCGGTCGAACCCGAACCCGACCCGACCGACCCGCTAAAGTAAGAATTTTTCAAAATCATTTTCTTTCTTACTCGTTTTTAGTGTATAAATTTATATTTTCAGATAAAATTTTAATGATATTGCATAATTATCTTACTTTTTTCCAAAACTTAAATAGTTTTTTATATATCTAAAAATTACTTCAGATTTTAAAATAAAATAATCTAATAGATTTAATACTTTTTTTGATATTCTAAATTTATCAAATAGAAAATGTAACTGTTAATGTGAATTTAAAAATTTAAAAAACCAAAGTCATAACCCGTTGGGTCGACCCGAACCCGATGACACTGGGTCATGAACATACTGTTTTTAACCTGAACCCGAATTGATCCGAACTCGAAGTGACCGAACTCGAACCCGACCTGACCGACCGATTTGCCAGCTCTAATGGTAGAAATGCTCATATTCAAATTCAAACCTGAATTAACTCAATTTATACAATATAAGATTGACATACATTTTGGAGTATTGTTTTTATTTAAGTAACGTAAATATTCCAAAAAAAGGTAATTATAGCCAATTGGGATGACCAATTAAAGAGTCATTAATGTTGCAATTTAAAAAGTCAATATTGTTTGTTAATTAAAGCAATTTTGAGGAAAAAAGGGAAATTGAATTTTTGTTCATAAGGAAAACACACAAAAACGTATTTAATATTAGTATGCTTATATTTATAGAAATTAAATTTAAAAAATAGGTAAAATATTGAGAATAAAACGTTCTAGTCAATACTGTTTCTTAGTTAAAGCAATTTTGAATTTCTGTTCATAAGGAAAGCACCATAAAAAATCATCTTTAATATTGGTAAGCTTATATTTATAGAAATTAAATTTAAAAAATAGGTAAAATACTGAGAGAAAAAATTCCGGTCAAGTTTTTTATGTTTAAAATTAAATCTAAAAACCAAATATTTTTATCCCCTTAAAACGATTTAGAAGAAAAATAGAAAATAAGTTTTTTAAAAAATTCAAGGATGTCCAATTAAAAATGGAATCTAATTTGGATAAGTTTTTAATTCTAGAAATTGAATAAAAATTAGGTGGAATGATTGAACCCCATAGCCATGACACCTTTTGATGGAAGATATCATGCAAATTTAGTTTTTTGAAACCTAAATACAAATGGCGAGGGAAGCTAACCTGAAGGAGACGGGTGATGAAGGCCATCGTCATAGACATCGCATCTTTTTAGATCTTCGATCTATGAATTGGAGATGAAGAATGAGAGATCGTGTAAACTAAAAGCTAAGCACCGAATTGGAGAGGAAAACATTTACTTTGGAAGTCCAAAAACACCGGATAAACTATTTCAATTCCTTTAGTTTTCTCACTTAGTTTACGTGTAAGCCAATTGTGTAAAAAATAATCCACATGTACATGCCAAATGTCAAGCTCTGGTGCATTGAGTCTCCTTTATTATAGTAAAGGATTAAAATGTGTACAACGAAAAAAATATTTATAGACTTAGGCTCTGTTTTTCCTATTACGATTAAAAACTTATTTTTTAAAAAATGTTAAAACCGACCAAATCAAGAACTATAATTCAAGTAAATCTCACTGGAGTAAGGCCTAGGGGAGGAGTGTGTATGCATACCTTACTTGATAATACGGAGTATAAATTAAAACCAACTGAACTAAACTTCTAAATACATTAAAACCAACCGAACAAAAATAAGAAACCACCTCTAAAATAAAAATTGTTCGAAAAAAACATAATTTTGAATAGTTTAATTTTATTTTAATTCTTTAATAAATATAGACTCATGTAAAAAATAGGATTGATTAATAAGTACTACTCCCTGCGTCCCACAAAATCTTTCTATTTTGATTTTAAAAGAACTTAAGGAGAATGTATTTTAGTGTTAAATTTTCTTAAAATGGTCTTAGATATGATGAATAAAAGTACGATGTGA